GAGGCCCCGCTAGTTGTCCCAATCCCTGCACCCGTGCATTCAACAGGAGGCCCCTGATTAAGCTGTCTGCAGGCCACCCCAGGTGATCATGCCATGTGCCATGTGTTTTCTACAGGAGCTTCATCTGACAGCAGCTAAAGTTAGGAATTCAGAGCAAATTTGCCTGGTCTAGCATGGCTTTCTAAGCCATCTTGCTCAGTGCCTCCCCATCAGGATGGAAGAAGATGCTATGCCATGGTGACCGAGGCCGTGGGCTTTGAGACGTGGCCCTGTCCCCCACTACCTGTGGAATTTGTGCCTGAGGTTCCTTATCTGTGAAATGGGGTAACGTCAGAGCATCTTGGGCTTGTCATGTGTGCTTAGTGACTTAAAGCTGCAGCAAAGCCAAAGCAGTGCCCGGCACGCATTGCGCACACTCACGGAGGGGTTGAGGCTCCGTGTCAGCACAGAGCTGGGCGTGGACACAGACGGAGACAGTTTCCTGGGGAGGAGACCAGACACCAGGCCTCAGATCCTGATGACTCTGCTGTAGGTTTGCGGCACCTGTCCTAGATTTCAGCTTTATCATTTAGGAAGTGGGGCCGAGAATGTACACTTTGGAGCTGGGCACCCCGACAAGCTCTGTGGGGGGACACCGGAGCAGGGTGAAGCTGCTGCTTTGGAGAAGGTCCAGTGAGCCTGGTGGCCGTGGGTGGGAGGAGCCAGAGGAGCAGAGCTTGAGGTTCTGTGAACAGCCTGACAACCGGCTCACTTGTCACGCCTGGCATTCTGGAGGCTGGAGCACCTGCGCCTCTGGGGCGCTCCGTACCCTCAGGGAGGCCTTGGGTGCTCTGCGCTCTGGCTTGATCACTACCTCAGCTGCTCTCCACAAGTTCCATTGGACAGAAACCCCCAGTGCTCACTCTTTCACTTCACCACACCTCACTTGGCATCACGGCCCCAGGGCGGCCACCCTCGGGTGAGTTCCCGAAGCCTCTGAGCACTCAGGTTACCCAGCACTGGCTGCCGACTGCTGCGGGTATGCGCGCCACGGCCCACGTGTCCCACATGCACAGACTGAGCCCACCTTCACTCACACGAACCTGCAGAAGAGGGAACTCTGATCGTCATGGGAAACGGGAGCTCTGAGAACAAGCCCCCTGCTCAAGTGGGGTCAGGCAGGATGATCATTGAGAGCTCCAGGCCAGCCTGGGCTACAAAGGGAGCTCAAGCACAGCCTGAACTGCATAGCGAGACCCTGTCTCAAAAAGACAAAAAAAAAAAAGAAAGCACAATGGAGAGTGACCATTGCATTGGCAAAGGAAAGCAGCCACAAGTGGAGCCTGAAATGTCCAGGTCAGAGGCCATACCGTCACTCTCAAGGCCTAGGCACCTGCAGAACAGCAGGTCAGGAGCAACGTCTGTGCAAAAGGCATACTCTACCCAATTTCAGGTTGGACCGACGGGTCAGCAGGGTCAGCTTTGATGATCTATAACCTGGAGTCTCTGACTACCAGGGGACAGTCTTGGAAGGACCCACAGTATAGAAGAAGTCAGGTTGGCCAGAAATAGCTTGTCTCTCTCTCTCTCTCTCTCTCTCTCTCTCACACACACACACACACACACACACACACACACACACACACACTGACCTGACCTGACTGAAGCCACCCTTTTCGGCAGTGCTTTTTGTCTGTTCTCTTCCTCTCACCTTCCCACCCTCTGTTCTTGTCTTCCACACAGTTCCCCAGTGACTGCTCAGATGGGCTAAAGTGATGGTATTTTATTTGCTGTGGTTTTCATTTTCATCTATAATGATTGCTCTGTGTCACAGATACCTGGGCTCTCCCCGAAGTGTCTGAGTTGGTATGTTCCGTTCTAGTTGCAAGGTGTGCTTTTTCGAATGTGAATGATCAGAAACCACTACGGGGAAGCCCAAAGGATGGTAGAAGCTCTCTGAGTTTGTACTTGGTGCTGTTGCTCCCCTCCAGGATGCCGGTGCGCAAGTGAGGTGCCTGAAGGTGGCACACTGTGCTTCCCTGCCAGCTGCACCTCCACTGCCAGACAGGCTGGGCAGGCAGGAAGGCAGGTCTGCCCTTGCCCTCCCTTGGCCATGCTCTCGGTTCACAGGTCACATCATTTTTTCCTCCAATCCGAGGCTTTTAAAGTACCACCTTGAATTCCAAAAAGAAATGAAATCTGAAGATTCAAGGGGTCACTCTGGTAAGCAAAAAGAAAAAATATAATCTCTCATAGATTCTATCACGCTGAGGAAACCCCTTCTAATACTTGGTTATGCAGATATACATGCATTATATATAACATTATATATATATAACATAGAAGTATGTACACACTTCATTATTTATTCGTATTCAAACCTTTCTTCAAATTTGGAATCAGATGGCGTGCTCTATTTTGACCTGCTTTTTCCATTGAATATATACAAGCATCTTCCTTTGTCATGAAATATCCCTTTACAGTGGAGTTAACATGTGGCCTGGTATGTGCCACAAGCTAAAGCACAAATTCTGTGGGCACTTTCCCCTGCCGTTAGCTTAGGTATTTGTGTTACTGTATTGTAGCATTACGAGAATGGGGAAGGGGGCTGAGTGTCTGAGGAGCAGTATCCGCTGTCCTCATTCGGACTGTGCCGTGGCTCAGGGACAGCGAGGTGCACGTGCCCTGCCAAACCCTTCTGCAAAACCACACACAGCCGTCGGGGTGACCGTCACCGCGACAGCACCTTCCACCAAGCAGGCAGAAAGCCACTCTCTGGCTGCTAAGAGATGAGATCAGAATTCAAACCCAAGCCCTGTTTGACGCCCACATCCCTGCTCCCTGGGTCCTGCCATCAAGTCTCTGCTCCTCTGTGTGGTGTCCACAGGCCCAGGAAAGTAAGAGCCAGACTCGAAATGCCAATTCTGCCTCTTTGGAGCCCAACTTTTTGAAGGGAAAAGGCCACATTTGTGCAGATTTGTGTCCCTTTGTTCGGAAGTCGCTGAACTTGCCAATCAAAGGGAGATGAAAGAAGCACGGATGCATCAGGAGGAAGACAGAATACCCCAGTGCTCCTGGTTCCACCTGACCTGACTCTAAGCGCACAGGTAACGCACTGCGGTGGCTAAGCAGCTCCTTTCCTCCCATCCAGGGAGAGGGCTGTGCCTGACCTCAGCTTTCCGTCTTCCGACTTTATTTCTCCATATTCTCGCCATTCTTCCCCTGGAAACTTTGAGAGCCATGAGGGGTGTGGCAGGAGTTGGCAGCGTCCTGGAAGTGGGAGAAGTCACTCTAATAACGCTCCTCCATCTACTCAAGCATCATCAAATGGGCAGGCCATTTCCTTACCACCTTCCCTTGCTTGCTTGTCTGTGTTAGAATCCTCCAATGAACAAGCAGGCTTTGAAGGCTGGGACATACTTAGAGCCCTCTGAAAATAAGGTACAGATGTGGGTGGTTGGGTGTCTATTCCTGCCTCTGGATATCTGGAACTGAGGATTCATGACCATCGAGACTGTGCATGGGTGTCCCAGTCTTTAGGGAACACTGTAGATGAGAGCAAGCTCATCGTGCAAAGGCTGGTAGGTCTCCTGAGAAGTTCCATCACTTCCCCACTGTGCCTGCTCCCTCACTGAGATAAGGGGGGCAGACTGTGAGAAAGGGTGAGGGCCCGAGTTAGCTCTGATCAGGGACCATGATTTTTATGCAGTGATGTCCAATTGTCCATAGCATCCCCCAAATTCTGATTCTTCTGGGACCTCTGCTACAGCCTAAGTAGGAGTCATTGTCCATACTCACAGCTATCTAGCAGTGCTGACCAGCAGCAGGAACACTTTCCCCTGTGTGTGCACCTACTGCTACCCTCGGGGCGTAATTGTTCCCTATTTGTCCTCCTTTCTGCAACGTGAATTTTCAAGGGCAGAACATAGACTCATTAAATGGCAAGGATTAGGAGCTCTGACTTCCGGTCTGGTATACCCAACTGAACCCCCGAGGTGGCCTTAATCTCCCCCTCTGCCCTCATTCAGATAATGTCCAATAGTGTCGATGTTCTGGGGAAATCTTAATTTGGAATCGTTTTTCCTGAGACTGAAATATGTGATATGAGTGTGCTATGTCTATGGAAATCCAAAAGTTTTATTAGATTCTTAAGTGTATGTGTTGGGGGAGCATGATTCTTAAAGAAATAAAGAATTGTTTGCTGTAATTGGTTAAAGTTAAGTATAGGAAGTAATTCTAAACTTTGCATTGCACTTTTTATAATAAAGAAAGAAAGAGGATATTGCATCCCCAATTTTTACAGTGGAAGAGTCAACTTTTATATCCCTGTTTTTAGTTTCCATTATAAGTTCACTTAAGGCATGGATCTCTTCACTTCTTAAAGTGCCTCCGCCTCCATGATCATCCACTGAGATCAGAGTCATGTGCCAAGTGTTTGAAAACACACTGGCTTGTCTGGCCAAGATGATGCGTCCCTGTGTAAGCACTGGGTCAGCCAGTGAAGCAGAGAAGGAGACAGAGAGCTAAGATTGGCGCTGAGGCTCTACCCCAGCCTACAAGCTCCTTGTCATTGCTGATCCATTCAGTTTGTGAATTTAATCTCCGGACTCTTCTGTTTAGTTTCTAACATGTCTAAATCTAGTTGTCTCAGAATTTTCCTTGAGAAGCCAGTGCATGTCATATAGAGATAGATCATTCTGAAACTTACAGATAATGTTCCCTTTGAGAATGCATACCTCCTTCAGAGCATATCTTGTAGTTATAAACAGATTTTTCAAGACAGGTCAAATGATATCCCACATACAACGTTATTCAAAGGCTTCATGAACATATATTAAGTTTTTGGTAAAGAGAGAGGATACTTTAATGCATAAGATTCTAATGAAAACAAGAGGCACATGCACAGAGAAAGTTTGCTTTCTGACACTTGGAGAGGTAAATGCATTTCAGATGGATATTTAAAAAGAAACAAAAAACTGACACAAGATAAATAAGGTGAAATTAGATGTACATTCTTCACTGCTTCTGGAACTCAGCTCTGAGAAGTGAACTTGCATCAGTAAATTATGAAGGAAGGAAGGAGAGACAGTGACTTTCAGCATCAGGTAGATGGGTTTGAATATAGGCCCTTCTATGCCTTGACTACTTGATAGCTTAATTTGCTCAATTAAAATGAAGGTGAAATATTACCTATTTATCAAGGTTTTTGGTAGGACAACGTCAGGTCTCCACAGGTGAGCATCAATATTTTTTCTCCCATTCTTTACAATTTTTCTTTTAATGAATTGTAAGCTCAGTCATGATTTCTAATGGACCATTCTTTAAAGATGAAGATCTTGATCTTGACATATCTGATGACTCAAGGATACTGGACCTTGTTGACAGCCCCTGAGTATTCTGTAGAATTTCTCAAAGAATCCAACTTTGGCAGTTCCAAAGCTTATCAAGCCAGAAAGAAGACCAATATAGTATTAGTTCTCCAAGATGAATGAAGACGAGGAAAGGGACTCCTCAACGGGGATTGTCCTTTTTGAATGAAAACCAAGATGGCAGTGTAATCTAGAGCAATCTTCTTGGTGTCTTTCTATATACCCAACGTTCATACCATAGAAATAGCAACTCTAACTTTAGGAATTTTTCTTGAAGAAATTTTTTATTTAAAAAACTTATGGAAATACATAAAAGATATTGACTACAGCACTGTTTGTATTAGAATAATTAATTCTTGGAGTAATTGTTAATTAGAAATCAGCTAATTTTTCACCTCTAGGGGAATGGCTGGACTATGACCAATTTGTATAAAAGGCGTCCCTATGGCCATAAAGATGTAAAAAAAAAATTAAATGCTTGCAGCACCTTCAGATCAAGGCTATGTAATACTGTGATCAAGTTGATTTTTTGTGTGAAAGAGATTAATAAGATTCATGGCATATATATACATACATACAAAACTTGGAAGGTGGACGCACACGTCATATGCTTTTCATCTATGTGCTTTTGAGAAGTATCCAAACTATCTATAAATCTCTATAATTTTTTATTATCAAACCAATACAAATCAGTTTGATAATTTTTAAAAAAAGAGAAGCTTTAAAAATCCCAAAGCACATATTACCATGCCTTGACCTTTCTGTTATCTTCCCCTGGCCCAAAACACAGAAATGTGCCTCAGTTTCCATAAATGGGCAACTTAGGGGCGACAACTCAACTACACTTCAGTTTTTTCCATGTAATTCTATTTCCATGTTTAGCTTACTGGGAGGGAGAAAGGAGTGAAGGAGAAGACGCTGGTCACGGTGATGCGAGGCTTCCAGATAACAGCTGCAGCAATCCCACAGAACGTGGGGCGGGACCCAGCATGTTCAGCTGCCTCAGAGATGATCTAACTGAGGAGAGTGAGAGGGACGCTGAGAAGAGTGAGAGGCTTACAGTGCAGAGCACGAGGGGCCTTTAGATAGTAGGGACCTGCAAGCAACAGAGGGGCAGGACCAAGAGTGGCCAAGTGAGAAATTTAGTGCAAAGCCTCATCTCTCTTAGTTTCAGAGCAAGCTTGAGGACCGAAGGCAGGAAGCAGAAGCTGAGAAGGTCGATGCAGGGGAAATGATGAACCTAGCAGAAATGGAAAGAGCAGCAAAGCCTCATTGTTCCCAGGACCCCGGATCATGACCGCATGCAGCGATGCTTTGTAAGTATTAAAACGCACCATCATCCCGTCACCGTGGTACCAAAGCCTGAAACCGTGGGACCTCAGAATTACTGACAACAGTAACCTGTGCAACAGGAAAAACATGAAACCTGCATCCCAGATGTTCCCGGGGAAAGCCTGAGAGCACTACCCAGCTCCTGCCTCGTGATCCCTCTTAAACACCCTGGGAATCCAGAGTATCATCAGAGGGCCCAGATGGCAGGTATCAGGCATCTTAGGGGTAGAAGGCTTTCCATCAGGAGCTCAGGAAGTAACAAAATGCTAATTTAGAGCATGTAGTTCCTGGTTGATCTAATTCCTTTGAACTCTGGTCTATGTTTTCACTTGATTACTTGCCCCAATGGGGTGACATACAATCATCACTCCAATTTAGGTGGGTCCCTTATATGTTCCTTGAAGCTCTTACCAGGAAGCATCAAGACAGGTGGCATTTGCAGTGGGCCTTGGAAATGAAGAGACCATCTACCTCTGTCTCTAACTGGGGGAAGAAAAGTCCAGCAGACAGAGTGGCTGCAACCAAGCGCCAGTGAACCCAGAGGCAGAGAAGGACTGTGCCCTGCTCCAGGGAGTGCTAGGCAGAGCCTTATCAGAGTTGCTCCATTTTTCATGACCTCCTGTGACTTGCAGTGTCATCTTGAGCGGGTTGAAAGCTGTGCAGTGATCCATTACCCAGCCTAAAAGCAGGTATCTGAACACCTGCTCTTTTTCTCCCCCCAAATATGTGAGTCTGTGGTGAAAATGCGGCTGCCAGTTACCGAGTAGACACTGCTTGGCGCAGGGGTAATTCGAACATGAAAGAAGACCGATGAGAAAACGTCCGGTGCACTGAGCACATCTGTGTGCCTTGGACCTGCATGGCCCAGGGTATGGTTTAGTGCTTTATTGATGAAAGAAGAATTTTAAAGATCAGACCTGAGCTTGCTGCATAGGATACTGCTCAGAACATTCCTCCGAAGTGACTTGAAACAGCAGCGGTGGGCAGGTGATGGGGGAGCAAAGGGCTTGTGGCCAGCAGTAGAGTGATTTCAACAGTGTTTATGAATTAAATATAAAGGGCTTAATTTTACCCAGATGCCCTGCTGGGACTTGACAGCCTTCTCTCTTGTCACACTCACACTTTCCTCCCTCCGTCCTCCCTCAGGCCTTCCCTCCTGCCCTTCATTTCTTCCCTCGTTTGTTTGCTCATGTCTCTCAGGTGTGACCACCTCCTGTGCTGCTGTGGGTCCCAGCGGGGTGGGAACAACCTGGCACTCGGTTCACCTTCCAGCCTCTCTTCCAAACCTGCGCTGGACCTGGACCTGCGCTGCCTCTCAGGTATAAGCAGGTTTGTCATTTGTTTAAACAAAAAGCACTAAAAGTCCAAACGCCTAATAAAGCACATTCACAAGCCAGTTGTGATGGACTCCCTCCTGCTGTGTGGCTTTGGGACTTGACCTGCCAGGTCTGTCTCCTCGGGTTACTGAGAGTTGGCCAGGAGCCAAGTGATGTGAGTGAGGAGAGCCCCTCTTTTCACAACCTGCGGCTTCAGTTTCCTGGGATGCCATAACCAATCACTATGAGTTGGGTGGCTTCAGACAGTGGAAATGTGGTCTGTCACAGTTCTAGAGCTCAGATCTCAGAAATCACAGCGCCTTCAGGTTTGTTCCTTCCAGAAACTCTGAAGGAGGAAGTGCTCTGTGCCTCAGTCCTGGCTCCTGCGCATGTGATCTTGGGCTTGCAGGGCACCACTGCAGTCTTGGCCTCTGCCCCACACAGCCACCGCCTGTGCCTGTCCTTTCTGCATGTTACAAAGACAGTCATCCCCAGAATCAGGACCCATTGCAAATCCAGGGTGGTTTCATCTTGAGAGCTTTAACTGCAAAATATTGCATCTGCAAAGACCCTATTCTGAAATATGACCACATTTCCAGAGACCATGGATTGGGACTCAGACACATCTTTATGGGGCCAGTATTCAACCCACAACTAAAACTTTTACTGTAGTTTCCCTAACATTAACAATGTTGGACAGACAAAGTGCATGGCAAACACATTCCCTTGCTGTGCCCCGCTCCCAATGGTGACTCACACTCCAGGCTTTGGACCCGTCCTCCACCTTCAGCAGCAACCAGGTCAGTTCTCCCACCGCAGCTCTCTGCCCTGGCCTACACGTCTCATTTTCCTCTCCCCGTGACACTTCTCCTTCCTTCTTTGACTTTCAGGGGCCGTAGATCACCTCAGTCTCATCTAGATAATGCAGGATAACATCTCTATTTAAAGTTGGTTGGTTAAAAATCTTAAATCCATCAGCAATCTTAATTCTCCTTTGCC